CAATAGTATTATTATAAAAACAGTATAAACATTTAGGAGGAAAATGTTACAAATTAACAGAAAATATTTCTATTCATATAAAAATTTAATCAAATTATAGGTACTTATTATAGGTACTGCTTATTTATATAAAATACTTCTTCGTGAACTACCCATTTTAAAAACAATTAACACACTGGTTTGTCAAAAGTCGAAATAAACCCTAATAATGTTATTCAACATTATTTATGACCCACCTTCGAGAGGGTATTATACTTCTTACCTAACCAACCTAACCGTGTCGACGAGAATCTAGAAACTATCGACAAGGACAGCCTGTACTGGCCGAGAGAGAAAGTTACATTTAGCAAAATTTGAGATTTTAAAAAAAGTTTATACCAAATAGCTGCTTTGTGTTACACTTTATGTTAAAAATAAAAACAGATTCGGAAAGTGGGTCAAATTCTGTAGTGCCCTATTTCAAAAAAAAATTTTTTACGTTTATTTTAACCAAAAATATTTGAAACAAAATTATTGTTTAAACAATTTATTAATTTACAACTAAATAGTGCACTAGAACTTTTTAAGACCTTTCATATAAAAAAAGAATCATCTCAATATCTGCTATAGTTTTTGCGTTATTTGATATAAACTTTTACATTGGAACTTAGGTATGCCCAGAAACGCAAGGAACGGCCTTAAGAGGCAGCTGGATTTAAAACGGTTTTAATAATTTTGTTAAGCAGAAGTGTAAGGTAATGCGGATGCGGTATGCGGATGATGTAATGTAACTAGAACAGATGATTTTCTGTGGTATCCCAGGTTATGTAACAATAGAACACTGAAAACTTTGTTTTCAAACTTCCACAAAATTTATTTTAAATTTTATCACTACAGCTGTTTCGGCTGATAGCCTTTCTCAAGTCTTTTACTTGAGAAAGCTATCAGCCGAAACAGCTGTAGTGATCAAATTTAAAATAAACTTTGTGGAAGTTTGAAAACAAAGTTTTCAATGTTTTATTGTTACATAAAATGAATTTCCATCAAGTAACGATCGAATCCATCAAGTATCCCAGGTTGTTTATATCTCCTGAATTTTATTTAAATTCCGCATTTAGAGTACCAAAAATAACGTTTACCCCAGTCGCCAGAGACAAAAAATCATACGATCAAGCGAATTTTGCCGAAAATGTCAATTTTAGAACACTAAAAAATACGCAAAAAGTTTACCACTTTTACCCCCGGGCTTAACCCTAAAACCCCCATCGCAGGGAGGTAAAAAGGCAAAAAATCCATTTACGAAGAATCTTACACCGTAGAAAAAACGTTTAAAATAAAAAATGTAGCTGAGCTGTAGCTAACCTTCCACAAATTTTATTATAATTTATTATCACTACAGCGGTTTCGGTAGAGTGCCTTTGACTGAATAAGTTGAGCTGTTTGTCTCAAGTTGGTCATTCAGAATTATATATGTATGTTTTAATTTATTAATTTCCATAGATTCTAATAAAGATTGCCTTTATTTTGAACATGTAGAATATAAGTGAAAGACCTTTTGTGTTCTGCTATACGTTTGTTAAAAGTTCGACCAGTTTGACCGATGTAAGTTTTTGGACAGTCGCCAAATTTAGAATAAAATTTTGATTCTAACAATAACTACGGTGATAACGTAATCGTTGTTTTGTTTTTTTTTTCACTGATTGATTTGTCTCAATCTGACATTCACAATTCTCCACATAACAGACACGTCTCCATCTCTATTTCAGTGAAATATTAATTGTGATGACAGATGTTATGAATGGATTTCATTTTTTTCAATAAAGCTAAAATGAATCACATTCACATAATTATAAAAAGTTCAATAAACCGTTTTGATGATGACTTTATTTAATTAGTGCCAGTTACTGTCAATTAAGAATGCTTCACGGTATTACTTAACCTATTGCTATCCTTGACGTTAATTACAAGAATAGTTCCTTCGTTTTGGTATATTAAACTATTTATTTTAATTAGAATGGGTTTAGGAAACAACCTGCACGTTATAATTATGTCGATTGGAAAATTTCTTTTTAATTATGTCTATTAAAAAGAAAGGTTCCATATTCCTAAGGATCTTTTAAGACGAATAATTATTAGCAAGAGCAAAATGCATGAAAAATAAGCTAGTTCATTTTAAAAAACTAAATAATTACATATTTTATAATTTTATAGGCCACAAACTATATTATACTTTGCATATTATCAAATACCAAGAGGATTGCGTTAAATAAGAACGTACATGAAAAGACTACAACTACTCAAAGAAAACGAATGTACAGTTTGTAAAGAAAGCGAACTATTACATGTTTAAATGATTGAATATATATAAAAGATCATATATCATCCCGATAATGGAACAAGGCTAATAGACTTTGCAGCATCCCACAATCTACTAATAAAATCGACAATGTTTGAACACAAGAATATACACAAACAAACATGGGTCTCCAACGACGGCGTCACAAGAAATCAGATTGATCATGTTCTAGTAGATGCCAGGAGGGGTAGTAACTGTCTAGACGTAAGAAGCCTAAGAGGAGCTGATGGAGACACGGATCATTTTCTTGTAAAAGCGAAGATAAGGACAAGAATAGCGTCCAAAAAAACACACAAGAATACACCAACAAAATTATGGAATACCGAAGTTCTACGTAATAAGGAGACAGAACAGAAATTTCAAAAGGCTATAAAAATCGCTCTAGCACAGACAAAAGACTATAACAACATATAATCAGCTTGGAAAAGTATCAAAGTAGCTCTGACAAGCGTATCAGATGAAATACTAGGACACAAAAAGAAAACAACAAAAAAATGGTTCGATGATGATTGCTTGAACTCCATATTAGCAAGAAATATGGCTAGAAGGAACATGCCACAAAACCCCTCGCACAACAACAATGAAATGTATAGACAAAGAAGAACAGAGACAAAAAAATAATGAAAAGGAAGAAGAGAGAGTATCAGGAACAAATAATCAGAGATATAGAAGAAAAAAGAAAGAACAAACAAGCGAGGCTGTTCTTTAAAGGAGTTTCAGATATCAAGACCGGGTACCAAGCAAGAACAGGAAACTTTCTTCAAAACGACAGTGGACAGCTTATCACTGATGACAAGGAAATCTTAAAAACCTGAAAGGAATACTTCAACTATTGAATTCGTCACGGAAGCAGTATAGGCACTATGATTTAATACCTTGAGTTTGTTTTCAATCCGACGTCGGTCGACGTCGCCCGATATCGGATCGGGAGAAATACGGTTCCAATGTAGGTGTACACTTACATAGACAAGATATGAGAAATATGGAAATACGTGCTTGGCGGAGGAAGGCGATGGATAGAGAAGACTGGAAGAGAATTCTTGGGGAGGCTAGGACCCACACAGGGTTTTAAAGCCAAAATGATGATAATAATATAGATTCCTTTACTAACTTAGTGGATGGAATCGGTAAATACACATCAAAGTTTAATTTCTGGTGAAGTAGTCATGACTAGGTCTTGTTGGAAAAACATGTAGGTGTTTACGAATTAAGCAAACAGTATAGAATATATAAGGAGGGAAGAGTTACAATCCCGTGAAGACGTGTTCAAAGACATTACCTGGACAGATAAAGGAATAAATGTTAATGGAAGAAAACTAAGTCATTTAAGATACGTTGATGACATTGTAATATTCGCTCCAAGTTTCGAAGAACTACAGACCATGATGACACAACTATTTCAAGCTTCGGAAAAAGTAGGTCTTAAGATGAACTTGGAAAAAACAAAAGTAATGACAAATACACCAAACATTCTAAAAATAATGTTGAACGACATAAATTTAGAAACAGTAAGCGAATACATCTACCTGGGACAGATAATGAAAGTTAACAAAGAAAATCAAACTGCCGAAATTACCAGAAGAATAAGATTAGCGTGGGCAGGATTTGGAAAACTGAGTTGGATCTTGACAAGCACTAAAATAGAACAATATTTGAAAACCAGAATTAACGATCAGTGTATCCTCCCTATACTCACGTATGGCTAACAGACGTGGATACTCACCAAGTCTAACATGGATAAAATAGTAAAAGCACAAAGAGCGATGGAAAGATCAATGCTCGTTGTGAAACTTATAGACAAAAAAACAAACAAATGAATTAGAAGCAAAACGAAAGTAAAAGACGCAGGAGAACATGTTGTCAAATTAAAATGAAGCTTTGCAGGACACAATGCCCGCACGGGATTGGTTTGGGGGAGGCCTATGTCCAAAATTTGATTATATAAGACTGAAAAAGAAGAATATTTTAAGTTTTTTGAGATATTCTATCAAACGAACATTTAGAACACTCTCAAAAATTTTTCCGAGAATGGGAACGATTGAGATGGGACGATAATTTCCAATTTCATTGAAAACTCCTTTTTTTGGCAGTGGCACAGTATAAAGAGGTTCCATATGGAACCTCTTTATACTGTGGCACAGGTAGCACTTCTGTTACTTTTAATACATCTGGGAAATCCAATTTAGTATAACAATGATTATAAAGTATAATCAATTTGTCAATAATTAGATCGATTGTTTACACAATTATTTTTTGTTTAAGAAATAAAAGTCCGTGTAGTGTGAACTTCTCAATCTAGCAAAACATTTCTGATTTCAGTATCACTAATAGGTAATAAAAATAAACGAAAGGAGAGTGTACATCTTTCAAAAAAATCTATGGCTACATTTTCATCCATAGAATTAAAAGAACTTTTAATATGTTTACCTAGTCATAACATAGGACTGATATATACCAGTCATAACAAAGGAATCAGAAACATGGACCATCACGAAACACAAATAACTAATATTAAGACGTTTTGTCGCAAAATACTGAAAAAATATAAAATAGAAAATAAACTAAACAACAACAACAAACTAAATAGAAAAGAGAGGAAGGTGTTAAAATAAAATGATAAAAATGATAATTAATTACTTATTCTCTCTGGAAAATTGGTACTTACCTGCAAGTATTCAAATGCACCAGTCTTAATAATTAGTTCATCACAGTTCTGTATTTGAATTAGTAGACTAGAAGACGTAATATAATAAAACGACTTTTTCTCCATCACCACTCTTTGAATTCCATTTAGGTAGATGAATGTTAGTGCGGGCACTTCTTTAAACGTTTTGGTCGAGAAAGTTAACTCTCGTCCACCGTAGATGTATATTTCGAAAGCTTCTTTGGGAACGTTGGCATTTTCCAAGTTTACTACCTGTAACAAAACAAAAACGTTAATAATATTCGTGATGAATCTATTAGTATTTTTCAAATATAAGAGAATACGTCAAAACAAATGTAAACAGTATCTGGACGAACTTTATGCTCCAAAACATTATGAAAAGTGTTAAAAGAAAATGTAAAATTCCCAAGATCAACCAGCATCGTTCTGCATGCCAATTTAAAGCCAATATGGCATTCCTTATAGATTATTGCATACGCTTTTATTTTAAATAGACCAAATCGTCATGTTAAATTCTTTTGCTCCTGTATTAAATCTGTGAACTAGTTTTTGAAAGCTACCTTCATTTTGGGCTACCAATATTGTAACGTCTGCGTAATAGATACTTTTAATTTCCTTTTGTCCCATTCTGTGTCAGACAGACGTTTTCATTTTTATAATATTCAAGTCTTATAGTCATTATAGTCTTCAACTTTTACTTCAATTCTATAACGTGCTCTGCGTAGGTGTTCTTTCTTCTTCTTCAGATGCGAATCCACTAATGGATGTTAGCGATCACATTTTCCATTAATTCTCTATTTCTTGCAATATGTATCAGAGATTGTATGTCGTTAATCCCTGTCCATTGCCTTATGTTTCGAAGCCAGGACATTTTCTTACGTCCCATTCCTCTCTTGCCTTCAATTTTACCCTCAATTATAAGTTGGAGGAACTGGTATTTTTCATTTCGCATGATGTGACCTAGATACGCCGTTTTCCTTTTCTTGATGGTTTCGAAAAGTTGGCGTTCTTGGTTTATTCTTTTAAGGACATCTATATTTGTGATTTTCGCTGTCCATGGTATTTTTAGGATACGGCATAAAGCCACATTTCGAAAGCTTCTAATCTGTTTATATCCCTCGTTTTGAGTGTCCAACCCTCTACGCCATATAGCAGCACTGATCACACGTAGCACTTAGTAAACCTTAGTCTCAGTTGAAGATCAAACTCTGAACAAGTCAGTACTTTCTTGAATTTTACGATAGCTTGTCGAGCTTGCTCAATGCGACATTTTACTTCCCTGTCCGATGCCCAATCTTCAAAAAGCCACGATCCCAGGTATTTAAATTTACTCACTCTTTCAATGGACTTAGTATTCAGTGTTATGGTGGAGTTTTCAAGTGCATCTAAGTTTCTGGAGATGATCATAAATTTGGTCTTTTTGGTATTAATCTCTAATCCCAAAGTGTTCTTTATCTTTTGTTTTCCTTGTTAGTATCCATCAAATATATCAGTCGCTATTCCAGCGACTAATGAGTAATGAGTAATTAAGTAAGTCCTTGTATTGCCTCCAAATCTCTTTAAAATTAGCTGGGCGTCACCAGACAACACGATAAATAAGGGGACCTCCATCAATGATGTATGACATTTTCCCAAAATCTAGAGCACATGATCATTCTTACGTTGTCAAATGGCTTGTTTAACATTGTATCTGTACTTAGTGACAAGCACAGTTGATAACCGCTTAAACTCAAACTTTCAAAAAAAGATAACTCTTCTAAACTAAAAGCTAAACTAACTTGACCACTTACAAAGAATACCAGATATTCGCGCGGTAAAATGGAAGTCCCACCGAAAACGGCCATAAAAGGTAAAGGGATAATTCATGGAACAAAGACTTTAAAGTAACTAAAATAAAGCAATAGGTAAGAAAAGCAGCTGATAGAATTGAATGAAACAATAGTATGAAAAAATTCAAAATCTACATAATATTTTAGGCCCAAGAGAAGAAGTAAAAATATAAAACTTCAGCGTAGAGAAGGATATACAGTGAAATCGAAATTTACTGTAAAACACGAATATACACTATACCGGCTGTCCCCGAAAATAGTGCGTTCCTTAAAGGTATAAATAGAAGGCACCATTTAGAGCAAAATAGTCTAATAACATTTTTTTTCTAAATTCAACCGTTTGACCAATACATCTATCAACTACATGCAGTACGAAAATCTAAACGTAGACAGTGTTGGGTTCTCCACATACAATAACCTCAATATTACAATTAGGGTCATCAGAAAGGGGAGAGAATATATTCGAATATGTTCGATCCAGAACTCGCTGGTTTCCCCCTTTCGCATTGGGTATGTAAATTCACATAGGAATAATAAGCAAGATGATCTTATGAAATTCTATTTAAAAATAAGTAAAATTAATAAACAAATTACATTTCAGTCACAACTTTAGTAAACAGATATTCTGGACAACACCGCGAAAATATTTTCGCAAATACCATGCTATGTTGATTATTTATAGAGAAGCGTAGTGTAACAGTAATTTAGCTGTCCATATTTATGCCAAAATGTCAATGTCAAAGCACGTCAATGTTACATGTCAATGTAATTTTTTTTTTGAAACGGTTAAGTTTAGAAAAAAGTATTAGAGAACTTATGTTTGTCGTGGTCTACCTTTCTTCTTTCTTCTTTTGGTTTTTGCCTTCCAAATTTCTCTCATCGATTATGTATTCTCTATTTTCTGAAGATGACTCTACCAACTGAGTTGCCATTTTTCTATAATATTCTAATGTTGGCAAGAAGCTATTGCAGAAATAAAAACGGGAAGGCCCCAGGGAATAACAAGTAAAATAATGAAAAACGGACAAAATGCAACAGAGTTATTATTACTAAAGATATTTAATGCCATATGGAGAGAAAAATCTGTTCTTCTGACCAATTGACTGGCAGAAGGCTCAAACAATACCAATTTATAAAAAGGGTGATAGAACGGATTGCAACAACTACAGAGGAATAACCCTCTTATGTACTACCATGAAAATATACGAAAAAATATTGAACAAAAAGGAATAACCGAAAAAATTGACAGCACACTTGAGGAATCACAAAGCGGATTCAGAAAAGTCAGATGCACTCATGATCATATATTTACCATCAAATAAATAATAGAAAAATATCAGCAACATAAAAAAGACGAAAAGAAGAAAAGGCTTTTAACACAAGGAAATATTAGAAAAGAGAACTAGTAAGTAAGTTTACCTATCTGATTTTTCTCTGGGACGAGGAAGCGAGGAAGATCGGCGCAGTAACTGACAATGGTTGGCGATGAACAGAAACGAATGGCGAAATAGATCGAGGCTCAACTAGGGCTGCAGTACCACTGATAATATGATGATGATTAGAAAAGAGAGGTATTGGTAACAAAATGATAAGGTAATTAAGAACATTTACAACAGCAATATCAAGTTACCAAAAGATATATACTAGGGAACTCTTTTACGGAAGATTTGTAAATTTAGTCTACATTAGAATATAATAAATAATATTGAGAATATAATGTATATAAATGAAGTAAATCCGTCAAGACATAAATTGTTGTGAAAAATATCCCATAAGAATTAATATCTAAAAATATACTGAATGTTCCTTTCATTAGTATAGCTTGATTGATCGAAAAGCACTGTGATAAGAAAATGGTCTACTATCTACTATAATAAACTCCACTGCTTACGACTAGGATAATTCTTATCTCATATTGGAACAAGACGTCTCGAATAATTTAACCATTTTAATTTGAATAGTACAACGACTTACACGTTTCATTATCTTCGATTCAATAATGCAGCTACTCGGAGATAAAAACCTAATCAACATTTATAGTGATGCAGAATGGGAGAAATAAAAATCAAATGGATAATTTTACAACAACGGCCCCATAAAAATGTTAACCATGGTTACTATAATTTTCCCACAGCTCTCTTCCAATTTATTTTACTTTGATGATTACACCAGATCAATTGGATTTTTTTCGACAAGGGAGTTGATAAGACTTTTATTAGTCTGGTGAAATTGTATTATAGTTCTTAAGAAATTCCACCACTGTATTCATCTGTACAGTATCACAGTACTTTGTAGGTAATTCGAATAATTAGTCCACATGATTTTGAGAACTGTTTCTTATATTCCATATTATAAATACTTGTATTCTTTTCTCCATAATGTTCTAGAACGTTGTAAGCTAAATCCATGGAAAGCAGTAAGTTCTTTATGTTAGTTTATTTTTATGAACGAGAGAGTAATTAGCATAATTTTAACTGGTACCTCCGACCACTCCATGGGCGTGCTCAAGATTAATTGAAAAATTACTCTGAATAATTGTAAAAAATAACTGAATTATTTCAGTGTTATAAAGTGTTATGTGTATGTAAACAAAAGTGACCTCTTTTATCACACACTATATTAGAACTGACTGGCCTACATTAAAAAGGGTTTTAAAAAATTCACATTTTTTTTTAATTTTTAAAAATTACAAAAGAGAAAAAGAGTTTTTAAAACCGTCTAAGGTATATTAAAAAGATGAATAAAAATATTAATATAAAACTTACAGCTACTTGTTACAAATCCAAATCAGATTCAGAAGATGAACTTTCAGAACCAAGATTTATAATAACTGGCTCGATCATTTTATCAGTAATATTGTCCAGCTTCCACATTTTTTCCTCTTCTTTAATAGTGTGATTTACTGCCTTTTCCCAGTTTTCAGGTTTTACATTATTTACGGCCTCCAAAAACAACTGTTTAACATCATGAATTTTAAAAGTGGTATTTTTTTCTTGAAACTTCACTCTTTATCTGTGCCCATACCAGTTCAATCGGGTTTAATTCACAATGATATGGTGAGAATCTAAGTACTGTCATTCCACGATTTTTGGCAATTTCATCAATTTCGTATTTTTAAATTTTTCTTTATGAAGGGCACACAACGAATAAAGTTCCTTTCTTATAGATCCGGGATGGTACGTAATATATTTTGAACTCAGCCAATTCTGCAAGTCTTTTTTTAACCACTTGGTTGTGGGCAGTCCTTCTATAAGTCTGGAGTGATAACTTGTATTATCCATTACTATTACACAGTTCTTAGGAAGAAGATCTATCATTTGTTCGAACCATTCTTGAAAGACATCAGCGTTCATGTCTTCATGGTAGTCACCGGTACGAGTTAAACCAGTAGATAAGTTATTTACAAAAGCGTGCCTTTGACTTGTAACAGTTTTCATCCTGCCAAAATTTATTTGGTGTATGACCCTCGTTGATCCATGTTTCATCAAGATAAAATATTTTTCTTTTTTGGTTTTCTCATTTCCTTTATGGTTCTTAGAAAATGTCTTCTCCATATGACAATATCGCTTCTTTCTAATAAAATAGACTTTCTGGGATTCTTTTTCCAGCGGAAGCCTATTTCTTTTAAAAGTTTCCATAACGTACTTCGACTCATTTCTGGGTAATCCTTATCATCTCGAACTGAGACAAGAACTTTATCCAATGTTGGAAATTCTTGTCTAAAGAAGAATTCATACACTTTCCGTCGAAGTCCTTCTTTAAAATGATATTCTATTTGAAATTTTGGTTTCCCTGGAGCATTACGTGGCATTTGAAAACTACCACATTTCTCTTCTTTAATAACTCTGTAAATCGTAGATTTCCCAACACCAAGTGTACTGCTAACTAACTCAACGGTCTCATCAACACTTTCACATAAACGTTTGTCTGTAAATTATTTAAAACAATTAAATATTAATGTTTTTTCATTAACTGTTAAAGGACCAATTTTTCGGCGTTTACACGGCACTTCCAAATTTTCCATAACACTAGTATACACAATAAACTGCACCTTGCAACTGAAGTACCTACTTTTAGTGAACTGTTAAGAATTTTGAATACGCCACTTGGACCTTCCTACAAAATGGAAAAACCCACTATCACATTTTCTGTGGAATAAGTTTAGAAGGTAATTATCTAGTCAATTACTGTCGTAGATTCCTGGAATTAAAGAATTAAATGTTTGATTGTTGAAACCCTTACTTCGTGGAATGCACTCATTTCAGATAAAATAAAACGTTTTATTTTATCTAAAGAATTAAACTTTATTTTGCAAATAGGTAGGTACTTATTAAACTTTTATTGGTTATATATAACCAATAAAATAAACATCTTACATTTCTTGCAAATTCATTAGTACCGATTAACCTCCATCACTCCGACACTGGCAACCTTATTTAGGGATTAGTAACCCTCACAACTATTGTATTCTATTCTGCTCCAACCTTTATACCTGGTGGTCATACTCAATTTAAAATTGTTTTCCTATATACCTCTGTAAACTTGTTGACAAATATCTGTTTTTCGTTGAGTCACCCGTATCAACAGTTTAGGGATTTGCATACATAATTTATTGTTTTATTACACTCTCATACATAAAAATACACTATAAAAAATTCGATTCTGAATTTTTTTAATGATATTGCTATTCTTAATGTATTTATGTATCTTATGTATTTATCTAACAATCAAACATTGACAACTTTTGTTTTCAATACTTCCACAAAATTTATTAAAGGCACAGGGCCTTTCTCAAGTGATCAATTTTTAGCTAGCCACATGGTTGGTGTGTCTTTCTCTAATTGGATTTCTTCTTTTCGGTGAGTATCTGTGTGTCCTGTTTTACGTGTCTGTCATCTCTTCAGGACGTGGTTCGTTTTGAGGGTATTGACACTGGGGTTGTTGTGTCTCACTGATGGTATTGGCTCAGTGGATGTTGATTCCTGCGGAGGAGGTAGCTTTCCAGGGTAGTCGGAGGTGAAAGAGTTGGTGTTAAAACGGTTCTTTTCAGAAATTATTTGTTTGTTAATGATTATGAATGATATGACTGAATTTAAATGTATAAATAGTTGAATGTGAAGTAATTTCGTGTTGAGGGCAGCGATAGCTGTATCTTCCGTAAGGACAGGTATAATTGTGCAATGGGATCGGGAAATCTCAGAAAACCGATCCTCCCTGTCCGTGGTAGAGCTCGAAGTGAACTATTTATCTAGTTGCGATAGTAAAATGGAATTGCCTCCAGGATGTCCATATATTCATCAGGGGGTTTCTTTCTGGTGTCTGATTAATACATTGCCAAAAGAGAGCAGGTAGTTTTGATTTTGTTTTGGACTCTGAAGTTTTGGCCTCTGGTAGTTTTAATTGTGTAACTCCTGCTCAGAGAAGAGAGCCTATCATTCACTCATTTTGGTGATCTATTTTTGGCACGTGTTTAAATTTTATAGTCTTGAACTGAATAATTTGTATGATTTGTATAATATGTATTTTTTAATTTGTTGACATGGAAATCTAATGAACCATCTAACTGCATGAACTAACTGACAATCAAGTCGTCCCAGAAACGTAACTCAACAATATTGGCAGTCGTCTACTTTAATATATATCATATAAGTCTAAATTTTCAATATGAATAAGTCATATAAAATTAAATTATTAGAATAATGTTTCATCAAGTAGGGGAAAGTGTCAATCAATAGTGTCTATGTCTATTCTGTCTATTCTGTCTACCTCCTCATAGCAAACAATGGTCGGGTTCTTACACCTGTACCATGACAAAAATTGTTTAATGTGTCTGTGAAGTCCAGTGTCGGTTTTTTGTATGTTTTTTAAGAATTTTTAACAACTAAGTATATAACTTATAAGTAATTAAAAAAATCAAAATTTTAACAAATAAGGAAATGAGATCTCTCCATTGTAGTGGTATTTATAAATTGACCATAGCTCCGATGATGGCTTTGTAAAGCCGAAAGCGCTCAGCTAGGAATTATTAAAAAAAATATACACACTTCAAAAATACTTTTTTGCCTTTTCTTTTGACTTAAAAATAATATTACTCATTACTTTAAGGATCTAAACTATTTTGCAACTGTTTAAATAACTATAAGAACCCGCAAAGAAGGAACTTTTTGAATAAACAAACAAAATAACCAGACCAAAAATACAACATACTTCAATTGGTTATACAATTTTGATAGAACAAATGATGAATGCCTATTTCCTAGACTAGACAATTTACTAAAATGTCCAGACATCTCCACTCATTAAATCAAGTCCTATAAAAGAAGATTTTCACCTTTTAGAATGAATAACCATAAGTAACAGGCTTTCACTCAAAAATATTTTTTTAATTAAATATCAGTGCAATTTAATTTCACACGGTACGAAACGCTCCCAGTTGCATTTCTTGGAAAAGGTTTTTATTACTTGAAGTTTCACTAGACTAACAGTTTCTTAAAAAGCAATACTGCATAAGAACGTCTACTTCCTTTTAAGCGTTGATTATAGCATTCTGTATGCTGTGCAGTAACAGTAACTGAGTAAGGTTTTTAATGCAAAACTTGTTTCTCGCGACATGTTTTTATCTCGTACTCTTTAATGCTCTACTGACATTGAAATACAACGGCTGTTTTAACTATCACCGCCGAATCCGCCGATTAAAAAGTTTTGCAGATATTCGTTTCATTTTGTGATGTCATCGTACTTAACGTTTACATGAATAGCAGCTTTGTTGTTTAACAATATCGGCTTCATAATTTAATGTACCTTTCCAAGATTTCATTAAAATGAGTCAAGAGTAGTTTGCGAACGTGGATTATTTTAAAATAGTTCATAGAAGTGCAAACTGTAGCAATTTTTTTTATACCATTTCTTCCACCAAAAAAAAATGAATGCCCAAAAATCGAAGATTATTAGTAATTACCAGACTTGGGCAAATATGCTAACAA